TACTTGGCTTGTTCTTGCAATGCTTTACTCATAGTTTTCCGTTCATCCTGTTGTTCTCTGATCTCATCTTGTAATTGATTTATGACATTGTCCTGTTGAAAATTATTTTGAATAGTAAGTCATCACCAATGAAACAAAGATTTATTTAGTAACTGATGGTTGATAAAAAAAATTTACAAAAACAATATAATGATTAGAAAAAACATATAAACAAAGTATTTTAATTCATAATGAACCACATGCATGGCTCCTGATCAATAATGGTACAAATCAAACACAGTCTCTCAATATAGCCTTCTTTATGATTCCTTAAAATCTCCTTAAAGGTTACCTGTGCCTTTGTGTCTAAGGGAGATGAGCATTGAGTGAGCAAGAGGTGGAACTTCTTTCTCAACTACAAACAATTATTCACAGGAATCCATCACTRCACACTGGCCTGTCATCTTGCTTTGATGCAAAAATGCCAAGTCAAACAGCCACAGAGACATGAAGAAGACTATTTTCTCGTCCAATCAATGTTGATTGTGCTTACCTTTTCAAGGAGTATCTGCCTGTACTTTTTATCGTCACTTTTACCAGTTTGCTTACAATTTTCYAAGTCTGTTTCTAAATTCTTAATGGTTTGGTTCAATTTATTTATTCTTTCTGAAATTAAAGCATATCAAATATATTCTTATTAATTTGAAATGTAAATTTAAATAATAAGCATTTTAGACTTTGACTTCTTTGTTAATGGTAAATAACAGCATATAATGCAGCATTTTATGCGCAGTCATCCAATATTGGACTGGACTGGGATTTTGGATGCATTTCGGACTGGTATGACATGTACAGTAATCCCACAGACTTTGAAATCCCATCCAGTGCTTATTKTCTGCCCTTAAAAGTTAGAAGGTACAGGGAACTACTAGCTGTAAAAGGTTCTAGGGGAGATCTATGATAGGATTCCATTTTTTCAATGGCTAGTGTGCAGTGCTAGATACACATGAATAATTCTGTACATTTGTAGGCCTGAAAAAGCARCCCCTGATGGAGACTACATGTAATGTTAAAATCTGCCTGTTATAAAGTTTTCAGAGCCATTTACTTGATTTAGATTTGAGGTGCAAAATAAAACAATCGAACAAATAAAAATTGAACCTGGATATTACGTTCTTTGATCTAAAGAATTCAAAATTGCAAAAATACCTCATCCTGTTAGGATGAGCTAGACTGCATGTCAAATTCACTTAATTTCTTATATTGTTATGAGTTTATGGACAACATTTTACATTAAATCTGAGCTGTATAGCCTCTATATTACCCTTCTGTTCAGAGCACACTTTCTGTAGCTTCATCTCCCTCTCGGCAGCCTCTCTCTTATCTTGACTTGAAGCTTTGTTTGCCAAAGCAAGGTCATATTCAAGTTTTTGCTTAGTTGCTTCACCTCTTTCTAATGCTGATCGTAATTTTGCAACTTGGCTTTGCAGCTTTGAAGTTTGTTCATTGAAAGCCCTTGTTTTCTCTGCTTGCTGTTCCTCAATCCTTGCAATTTTTCTCCTGAGATCATTGACRTCATTTTCGTCTTTCAAGGTTTTATTCATTTGAAGTTCTTGAACTTGTTTATTTAGATTATGAATTTCTCTCTGGTATCCAGTGATCATTTCTGTTTGCTTCTCGTGTATAGCATCATCCTTCATCGTGCTCTAGAGTTGTTGATGATAAATTATTTAACGRGTTTAACGTAGTTTAAGTATTAATGCCAACTTTAAAGTTTATAAATTAAAGCTTCTTAAGTTATATTTTCAGTTTAAAAGCACGTCTAGTTGAAGATTGTTCACGAGCGTACGAGACTTCATCAAATTATTTACTTACATTATGTGGTGTATCACCTAACCCAGGTGATGTCTGTCCACTGTCTACCGGAGAATGATTGTCATTATGGATAGGAGAAATATTTCCAACRTTGGGCATGAACGTTGGTGTTGCTCTTCTTACAGGTGAAGACCGACCTTCACTAAAACTGGATCCCCAATCGCTAGTCGACATTATCCACAGACTACTACATTTAACAATAACAAGCGGTTGACTAAAATGAGAAATAACGAGAAAACGAAGTCGAGATTCCTTTTATCTTTGACCATAAAACTACAAAAAGATCAAAACAATTGTAACGAACTTTGAAACGGGACGTTTATGATGATTACCGCTGACAGTCAAACAATGGCACTGCAGACGTGGAATACACAGSCAGCCCATAATATAAATTTCTTTCTTCTTTGGGAATATTTTATAACACTTTGATAGTTTAACATATAGACAAATAAATGGATGAAATCGCATTTATTAAAGCAATAAAACACTTCTAACATAACAACTGTTTTGTGTTAAAAAGTCTTTTTTAAAATATTTCTTTTGTTCAATTTGCACAATTAAATTGCTGCAATTGTTCTCACTTTACTATATTTCCTTTCCCATGCGGAATTTTAATTACAAGTTWCATTACAAAATTACATGTTTTCAAATAATTCTTAATGCTTGATTGCACTGGGTAGACCTGGAATTAGTAGCATGAACAGCTGAGGGACCGGTGAAACCCATCATTTTCACGATAATCAAAACAAAAGACTTCGTTCCCATTACTTTTGAAAGTTGCTGAGGTTTATACATTTTTTTATGTATGCGCGTGTGAAGATTACGTCAGCTTTTCTTTTAGACTCTTGGCCKTCTTATATAAAAGGTAGCTTCCGGTTTCCTATTCAAAAGGCTCTAGCCGGCGCACACCTATGGTCAGAAAAATAGAGTTATTTTGATTTACAATTTTTTTTTTCGAGAGAAATACAAGCGTGTAGGCGATTCATAGGCTACACATAATTTTATTTTATTGAACAACTATGCAAAGACAAGGCAGTACAGGCGATACAACAGGCATACAACATTGCAGAAGACATGACGTCATAGTTATGATCGCCTAATTATCCAATCACAGGGCGCAAATTATCATGTGACCTCTATGTGAAAAAAGCACTATACTGGCTTCGTCCATCATAAACACATTGTGGTTTGTTTTGGGACAAGAAAGAAAGAGTTATATCTTTGTAAACGGACTTCTAGCCGAATACCATCTCTTGTAGAAGGTATGGACTCTGGAGATGAAGATGTGCTGTACGAAGAGGACCAAGATGACAGCGCAGATGAGTCGCCGTCCGAAGAAGCTGAAAATAGCGATTTTGATATCGACTGTGAAGATCCATCGACCCCAAAAAGACCACATTTAAACGACGATTTCCACTATGAATGTTTGACTCCCGAAGCTTTAGTATCCTACATGAACGAAATAATCGATGAAGTCAATAGCGTTTTTCAAGTAAGTTTGTCTATGAGGGTTGTTGTGATTGTATGATGAAAAGATATTCCAAATCAGTAAGTTCGMGTTTTCATGCATGCAGTATTCATTTCATTTCGTTATTTTCAGCACGTTTTTCACTAGTGGATTTTTTTTCATAAAAAATATGCCTGCATAGCTCTTGTTGAAGCTGCCGTGTATTCTTGTAGCTTCGATAAATTATGAATAATGATAAAGCTGATGAAATTTTTGCTAAGTACTTTTAAAAGCATATTAGGTTTATATTGAAGTCAACTGCACGAAGAATTTCATTGTCCATTCCTCATGCACTTTTTGGCTTTGTTTTAAGTTATTGATATTTCTAAAACAATCCTYCATCAGGGAGGAAGCAAACTAAGTGGCACATTACTTTCTATTCATTGAATGTCTGCTATTACAGAATATTGCTCTATGTCAGTTTTCTGTCAGTACATCTTGGATACATGTGGTCTTCACAGTCTTCTGCAAGCTGTCAAAAGTTCTTTTTTATTTAAAGTATTCCCACTGGGGACACTTACTGTGATGTAACTCA